TTGGCGCAGGATAGAGCAGGGTTTAGGGCTGTTGTGCATAGGGTCGCTATGAGTCGGAAAGGACTCGACGGCACATAACAACAACAACTAGTGAAGGAGGGGAACTCTAATAGCCTGGTGGTTAGAAGTCGTGCTGCCAACCCAAAGGCAAGTGGTTCGAATCTACCAGTTGCTCCATGGGAGAAAGATGTGCAATCTCCTCCCCTGCAACCTACAGCCTCTAAAAAGCCACTGGAGAGTCAGCGATTGGTCAGTTACCAACTGGGGGGCACATAACAACAACTAGTGAAAGTCTGGCAGTGTAAGTTCCTCCATTAAGGATCTTAGAAAAAGGTCTGGCACTCTGCCTCGGTGTACATGGCTGCCCCTGAAAACCCGATGGAGCACAAGTTTACTCTGAACCAGTGGGGTCAGCTTGAGCAGGAACTCACTTCGCGGCAACAAGCAAAATGATGCTAACAACCCTCATTCCATATTTGCACGTTCATTCTCTCATTGCCGTGGAGTGGGCGCCACTCACAGCTGAGTTTCCAGTGGGTTTTCAAAGGCTGTAAATCTCCCAGGAGGAGATAATAATCTCTCTCCTTCAGAGACGCTGGTGGATTTGAACCTTTCTCTAGAGAGGAGTGGCATCCCCTTCCTAAACAACATCCTGCCGTTAACTCTATGAACTTTGATAAATGTCGCTAGTTGTAGAGGGGTCAGGCCTTGTGTTCATAGGGTCGCTATGAGTCGTGCTCGACTAGAAGGCAACCAACAATCAACTAGAGAGGAGTTGCCTTTGGTTAGCAGTGCAACTCCTAATGGACTAGTCCACATTAGTGTAACAAAACCACACTGTTTAAACGTCTTCATATGTTGTTGTTGTGTCCCATGGAGTGAGAACTGAAGCACAGCTGACGCTCCAGAGGTTTTTCAAAGGCAGTAAACGAGGAGATTGTTCTCCTTTCTCCCTGGAGCAGCTTGTGGATTAGAACCGTGTGCCTTTGCATTGGCAGCGCAGCTCCTTACCACTGACTCGCCAGACTTCCCTTCAAACATGAACTCATTGAATCCTCCCAATACCTTTCCGCAGTAGATGCGCTTTACAACCATCTTCATTTTCTAAGAAAGGAACTGGGGCACAGAGAGGTTACGTAACTTGTCGGGGGTCACACAGCAGGCTAGTGCTGGGGAGGGTAGAGGAGTCCCTTGAACGCCCACCCACCATCTGGCTGCAGAGCCCGTGCGGTCTTGCGCGAAATGCCCGGTCCTTGAGCCTGGCACACAGAGGCAACCCGCCCCCGGTAACTGCAACGTGGACAGCGGGCCAAGTGGCATTTAACGCCAGGACGATGACTCTAAGGACGTCTCTCCCGACTTGCTGTGGGACCCCCCCACCCAGGAATCCCGACGGTGGTAGGAAGGGGGTGTCAGGTCCCGTATCGGCCGCTCGGGGACGCTGTCTCCCCTTCCGGCCGCTGGCGCACGACTGGAGAGACGTCCCCGCATCCGCCGCTGGGGGGCGCTGCCTGCCCTCCCGGCCGCAGGCGCGCGGCGAGGGGTCCCCGCAGCCCGACCCGCCGCAGCAAGATGTCCGTGCGCGGCCGCCGGCTCCCGGCGCGGGCCGGCGCGGGTCTCCCCTGGCTGCTGTGCTGCATCGCCCTGCTGTCCCCAGCCGCGGGGTACGTGATCGTGAGCTCGGTGTCCTGGGCCGTCACCAACGAAGTGGACGAGGAGCTGGACAGCGCCTCCACCGAGGAAGCGCTGCCCGCGCTGCTGGAGGACTCGGGCAGCATCTGGCAGCAGAGCTTCCCGGCCTCGGCGCACAAGGAGGACGCGCACCTGCGGCCCCGAGCCAGCCCCGGCCGCGCCCGGCCGCCTCCGGGGCCGCCCCGCATGTTCTCCTACCGGCGCGAGGGCGCCAGGGCGGTCAGCACCCCGCCCAGCCCGAGCCTGCGCCCCGGGACCGCCCGCTTCCTGGCCCACTCCAACGCCTGGGGCTGTCTGGCCACAGTGTCCACCCAGGAGAGGGTAAGCCACCCGGACTCGGGCAGGGATTCGCGCTTGCAGTGCCCGGGGGACAGCGGGCTGCAGGTGTCTGTCTGCCCCGCAGTAGCCTGGCAATCAGGCGATGTGGACTTAAGGCGAGGATCTGCTAGCGATTCACTCACATCTTCTCTACCTAGCTCCAAAGAGGTGCCAGGTGGGCTAGCCTGAGTCATCTACACCACATAAAGAATAGAACCAGATTACGCTTGACTGCCTTAGCAAAGTAAAGGGTGGGAGGGGACGCAGAATCTGGGGCTTCTTGCTAGGTTGTTGGAGACTGAAATGTTGTCTTCTGATGGGTAGTTAAAGGTTGCCTACAAATAAACAGCACCTGGCCAGAGACCTGGACGAAGGAAGCCCAAGCACACCCTCCTCACAGCACACTGTCCAATGAACCCCAAACTTCCCCTCACCTGCTGGCCAGAAACCGAGGCAGACGCGTCACCACTGCAGCCTGTGTGATATTTGCATAGTTATAAATTGCACTCAAGAATTTTTCTAGAAAATACATGTAGGGTGGGAAGTGTGTGCATGCTGGGATGAGCTGAGATCAGCTGCAGTTTTTACTGGGAAGTTTGCAAATGCTTTGCTCACCTGTTAGACATGATTCCATCCTGAGTTGAGATGAATGTATCATGAGGATGCAACGCCCATAAACATACATCTTTCAGAAGTCTCTGAGATTGTTGACATAGATGTCAGGGTTTGAAGTAAATATATTCATGTATGTTCGGAGCTCTTGTGGTATTATCCATAGGAAGTTGTGCTGATAACGCCAAGGTGACACCTCTCTGGCACTCTGGATCAACCAGCAGCTCCTGCTTAAGAGTTGGACAGTCTCCTTTCTTGCAATTTACAGCCTCTGGAAACCCACTGGAGAGCCAGCTATGAATCTGTTCTGATTCTATCACAATGAGTTTGAGTTTTTAAAGAAATACATTTTACCTTCAGACATCACTTTCATTACTTTGCTGTTAGCCAACATTTAATAGCAATTCAAAATTGACTTTTAATAGCAATTTAATAAATTCAGAAAACACTTAAAATGCCTGCAAAATTTAGCTCACGATCAGCTGTGGGCTGGAAGCTTCTTATTTAATTCAATCAGGAGCTGGTGGGCGGGCCTTTGTATTTAAAAGTTGGTTGGGCCCAGAGGGCCTACAGCTGTCTGGCCTGGTGTGTTTGGGAAGAACATTGTTCTAAGCAGTACAGCACTGGTCTGTCAATTTACTGTACTGAGGTAACTCAGGGTTGCTGAGATGGTGGATACTGTGCCACTGATGTGTCAAATACCATAATGGTTACCCATGGACAGTGTTTGTTGGAGCTCCAGATTAAGACAGAGTAGGAAGCAGAATTGGCATCCACTTCATAAACAACATGCCTTTGGAAACACAATAAGCATTAGAGAAATGACAATAGTTTTAGAACAGGGTTCAGATCTTTTGTTCCAAGGGTTGCTGTGAGTCATACTTAACTTGACAGCACTTAATAACAATAACAACCTTGTATAATGCAAAGCATGACTCTGGACAATGTGTGACAAAGGGGAAAACAGAACCTGTGAGTGAAGTTTTGCTTCTATTCTCAAAGATTCCTTAATATGTTGTTTTCTCTAAAGAATTTATGTATACATTTGAAAGCCTCCCTTATCACAATTTTCCACACTTTTGTCATACAAACTTCAAAGGCAAAGAATCCCCCTGGGATTGATCTCAGTAACAGCTAGCTTTCCTCTTTTAACAGGAACACTCCTCAAAAGGAAGATTGGGAAGGTTTAAACAGCAGGGTTTAGGAAAACCCTAGATGTCAATGTGTTTTTGTATGTCTGAGACAAACACCCACCCTGAAAGAAAATCATGGAGGGGGGGAATGCTATTTCATATTTCTGTGACTTCCCTTAAACGAAAAGTGTAACAGAACCACTTTCTATAACTTTCTGGGTCCTAAAATCATACATTATTGATTGTTGTTGTTATTGTTGTATGCCATGGTAGTCAGAACTGACTCATAGCTGACCCTCCAGCAGGTTTGGGGGAGCTGGTGGATTCAAATCGTGTGCCTTTGCAACACAGCTTCTTACCACTAGGCCACCAGAGTTCCCTACAATTTAATAAGTGATGAGTAGTAAGAGGGTGGTGTGGTCTAATAATAGTAATAATAAAAACAGAAATTCCTGAAGTCCAAACACCAGACCAAATGTTAAAGTGGAAATTCCATTCTATTCCTGAAGTCGTAATTTTTGAGGACAGCAGTGACGGGCAAGGGGGTACCCGTGGAGCTTGGATGAGAAGTTTAAACACTCTCCCATCAGTCTCATCGCCTCTTCCAAAAATTGCGTTCCGTTTCATAAAATACGCCATCAAAGTCACTGTGACGTCATGCTCCCTCGTGCCCCTGATGTTATATATTTCTTGGCTGGGGACACAAGTTAAGCTCTAAGCAAAGGTCACCTCATATTGACTGTCTTTTCTGGTGGTTGTCAGATCCAGGGGCTCCCTTTTGGAAACTGCCTGCCCATCAGCGATGGTCCCATCAACAACAGCACTGGGATTCCTTTCTTCTACTTGACAGCCAAGGACCCCACTGTCAGCGATCTGTTGAAGAACCCCATGGCCTCACTGACGCTGCCCGAGTCGGAGGCAGAGTTCTGCAGGTGGGTGACCTCGGCAGGTCCTCGTTCTTGTGAGTGCTCCCATAGGTCCTGGGAAGGTGGTGCCAGAGAGGTAAGAGGCTGGGCTCCCCTCTGGCTCACATGGCCTTTATCAGAACCCTGCAATTGTTAAAAACTGAAATGTAAACTGGTATCTCCACCAACTTGAAGTGGGAAGAGTATACCCTGGGATCCAGAGAAATAGAATTCCACCACTCACCAAGCTGTGAGATTAGTGGAAAAGTTATTTAATTTCTATGAGTTTTAGTATTCTGATCTGTCTAAATAGGAATAACAGTTTCTATTTCATACAATCTGCTTCTTCTTGTTGAAACATGTTAATTGGTATTCCATTAAATCCTGGGGCCTTATTTTTTGCCAGTGTCTTCAGTGCAGCCTGAACTCCTTCCTTCAGTGGTTCTTCTTGTAATTGGTGTCAGTTCCAGATTCCTCCAATTATTAGTATCAATCAATTCTTTTTGATACAGTGACTCTGTGTATTCCTGCCATCTTCTTTCAGTGCTTCCTGGGTCATTCAAGATTTTGCCATAACATCCTTCAGTATAGCAACTCGAGGCTTGAATATGTTTTTCAGTTCCTTCTGCTTGAAATGGGCATGTTCTTCCCTTATTTTTCTGACTCCAGCTCTTTGCACATTTTTTTGTCATACTTTGCTTTGTGTTCTCAGCATGGATGGTGAGGCAGGATAGGGCAGAGTCTGGTCTGCTCTTCATAGGGTTACTGTGAATTGTAGTCAACTTGATGGCTCCTAAGAACAACAGCAACCTCAGAGGATAGGGAGCTCTTGTGGACTAGAGAGTCAAGAGTTGTGCTGCCAAATCAAAGGCAAATAGTTCAAAACCACCAGCTGCTCCATGGGAGAAAGATGGGCAGTCTCCTCCCATGTGATTTACAGGCTCTGAAAAACCACCACTACTTATGAGGCATGGAAATACAAGCAGGATACCTTTGGTGGGTACCACGGACCTAGGTGAGTTAATGGTAGCTCTTGTTGCTATGAAGTAGGGCAGAGCAAGGTTTGGTGAAGGAAAAGCCAGTAGTTCTTCTCTGCAGCAATACAGTCTATTTTGTGTTTTTCAAATAAATCTCCATCCCACCCTGAGAAATGTGTGCAGTGAAGACCCTGAATCCTTTTATGCACTTTCAAAAATCTCACAATAAAAAGCTTTCTGAGGATATTTAAGCAAAAATGGAATGTTAATCATGACTCCTTGTTCTCAATTAAAAATGCCCAGCTTGGAACAGAATCGCGCCAGGGAGATGGCTGCAGTTGGCTGGGAAGGAGCTGCAGAAGGGAGACTTGCCAGGAGGCGGGACCTGTAGCTTTGAGATGCTCACTGTGAAGCCCCAGGCACTTTACCTGTAAGAGGCAGAGATGCTTTCCAAATGATGGCATTCCTCCCAGCTCTCAAATCCTATTCTTATTCAAGGCATACATTAACCAAGCGAATTTGTTACTTCTTTTTTTTTCTTAAATTTGTTACTTCTTATGGAGGATACTCAAAACAACAGTAAACTGCAGCCGGTATGAGACCTTGTGGATCCCAAGCTGCAGTGGCTGGCAGAGACTTGGCTGAATGCAGCTGCAGACCCAGTTTCTCAGTGGGTCGTGGCAAGAAACCAGGACAAATAATGCTTCCTTTTTCATGGATTATTCTTGGCCAGTCTTGGTCAGTCAAACTGTCTGTTAATGGAAGTATATTCTCAAGACACTGTTCTAAACTTGTCAAGTATTTGCCTACCCTGGACATCGAAGCACGCACCTTCATGTCTGCGCTATAAGTTGTGGCTTCTCAGTCCCAGAAACCAGAACACACCTGCTCTGGGAGACATCACTTAGGTTCTGGGAAGGAAGGGGATGTCAGTACTGACAGGCTGGAGCTGAAAGTTGAGGATGGGAAGAAAGTCCATGCAGGAGATGTCCTCAAATGGAGCCTGATTGCAGCGTGTCCCCTTGGCCCCTGATAACCAGTCTTGCCTCTGTGATCTTGAGCCCTGCCTTCAGGTCTTCAAGTTTGGACACCCACAGAAAGTACAGACATCTGGGTAATAATTAGATGGGGTGGGCAAGGCTACTCATGGCCAGAAGTGACAACCTAGACCCTCCCAGTCACCTGAGAGCTGCCAAGGGCTTCTTGGCACATCTGTGGCACTAGCCTGAGACAGGAAGAATGAGCCACCACCCTTTGGTACCCCTAAGCCTCCATCCTCATGTTGAATTCTTATTCCACAGCACTGCTACTGCCTTATAATGTTCAAGCTCCTAAAACAGCAAAATACCACTTTAAAAGGTCCAAAACTAAGTTTAGCTTAAGTAGGCATCATGCTTCAAATCAAAGGTTACCAGACAGTGAGATTTTCATTATGACCCCAGAACTAATACATTTGCTCCCATAGACGCATGCCTGAGTTTATTGCTGTTTGATTCCCTGCCCTTTGCAGGTCCTGTGCTTTGCAGATTAAAGGTTCATGGGAACCCTGTATTGAGTAAGTCTGATGGTGCTATTCTTCCAACAGCATATGCTCCCTTCATGTCTATGGCTAATTCTCACCGTATTGCAAACTTTTAACATCATGCGTAAAATCTGGGTGACTAGCTTTATTGTGATGTTTGCTTCATTGTGGTAGTCTGGACCCAAGCCCTGAATACCGCTGAAGTCTATCTGGATATCCCGTGTAAGCCCAGCCCCATCTGCATAAGGTTCACTTGCCGAGTTCACCATTCTGTTTTAGGTTTGGTGATGTTGAGCACAGGATGGGGGAGTTCTGGTGGCGAAGTCCATAGGGAGTTGTGCTGCTAACCCAAACTCTTGGCTGTTAGAGTTCAACTTCAACACCACGGGAGAAAGCAAGCAACCTCCTCCTGTGCAATCTGCAGCTTCAAAAGCCCAATGGAGGGTCCTCTATGAGTCGGTCCTGACTGGACAACAAGAGGAGGAGGGAGTGATTGGGCAAGAGCAGGGCTCAGGTTCCAGGCCTTTCATATCCCACCCAGCAGGGGGAGCCACACAGCACTCATTTGTCGTGATGGTGGCAATAAATCAAGACTTGTCCTCCAAGGAGTTAGGCTGTACTCAGAAAAAGGAGTGTTGCCTTCATTCTTGAAACAGGTTCCCTTCAAAGCTCCTGGGAATAACACTTTTATCACGTTATCCAGAGCAGTCTGTGTACTCAGGGTTTTTTGCTGGTGCTGTGCAACTAGACAGGGCATGAGTCTTCACTGTCTCATCCTTGGTGGGCAGACAAAAGCAAGGTGGGACCTTTCCACAAGATGCATCTGCAGGGCTCCAGGCTGTGCTGGGCCAGAGGAGTCCTCAGAAGGTGAATGATAATCCTGTGTGCTCCATGCACCCTCCTCAGCAGATACAGGCAGAGAGGGAGCTGCATGGGGCACTACATGGACAGGACTTGCTGCAGAGCCATTTCCTCCCCAGTGGGGCAGCCCTGGAGAGAAAATGATTCAGCTACAAGCCTCCCTTTAGGGATCTCCACCTTCACCCACAGGACACAGCCTGGGAGACCCAGCAATTCAAGCAGAAGCAGAATTCAGGTGGGGAGGCTGAGAAGGTGGAAAGTCCAGCAGAGGAGGCAGCTGTTGTTTCTCTGAGGAAATCTGCTACAAAAGACAGTTCTTATTTGTGTGTTTAATAAACAGATCACATCCCAACCAACCCAGAACCTACAGGCGTGCCTGCCTTGTCTTAAAATTGTTTGTTTCCAACCCATTGTGTGCTGTTATTCTGTTGACTCTGTTGGTGTGATGCTTTAATTTAATTAGATGACTCAGAAGTGAGAATCTATTTCCCAGCTCAAGATGAGAAGTCCAGACTGAGACTCTAGTTTATAATAGGTTCACTTGCATTTAGCTATCTGCTCCTCCTGTCATTTCCCTTCCTCTTCAGCATGCATGGAGTCCCTGGCTAGTACAAATGGTTACTGTGCTCAGCTGTTAATGCAAAGATTGGAGGTTCAAGTCCACTCTGAGATATCTTAGAAAAAAGCTTCATGACCTACTTCTGAAAAAACCCAGCCACTGACAGGCTTTGTCAGTTGGATAGCTCTACTCTGACACACATGGAGTTAACATGAGTTGGAACTGATTTTGCAGCAGCCACTTTTGTTCACTATACACAAACATGCACAGATGCCCCTGCAAATAAATTCATTCAGCTCAGACCAGAGGCTCAGTTGTGTGGAAATTCAATAAATACCACCTGACCCAGCCTATCACCCAGGAGATTTTTCTTTTGTTGTAGAAGCTTTTCTTGGGGAGCATGTAGACTGAAATGTCCAGGCTTTCATTTGCTTCTTTTTAGCGAGCTCAGACAAAGGCTCTATTGGCTTAGTGGTAAGGAATTGCACTGTTGATGCAAAGGTACATGGTTCGAATCCACCAGCGGCTCTGTGGGAGAGGGATGAGCCATCTTCTCTCGTCCAACTGCCTCTGAAAACCCACTGTAGGGTCAGTTATGGGCCAGTTCTGACTCGACAGCACACAACAACAACAACAGGCACGTGCTCAGGACCAGAGCAGCAGTCTGCTTGATGATGTTAAACCATCTCATTTTGAAGATGCTGAGGAAATAAAAAAAGATTTGTGAGATACTTTTTCTAAAGTGAAAAAGGGTCATCAGTCGTTTAGAAAGTTCTAGGTTCCTCAGACTGAGTTTGCCTTCAAGAAAATCAGTATAAAATACTGTCCCTTTTTCCTCAAAAGACTTCTCATGAAAAGCTGTGCATCAGCCCCTCCCTTCACTCCTCTGACGTGAAGCAATCCCTGCCCTACACTAGAACAGTGGCTCTTGTTACAGTGTTCATTGACTAGACTTGAGTATGCTTTGAAATTCTTGGGTAGTGTTAATGTGCTTGGTTGATAACTGAAAAGTTGGAGATTCAAATCCATCCAGAGGCTTCTCACAGAAAGGCACGACAACCTGCTCCCAAAAAAAATTAGCAGCACACGTCCACTATCACATCTGGGG